AAAAGACATTACGCTCATTCGGAACATTACTGAGGTGTAACATATTGAGATAGGAGAATGTGTCTGCCAATCAAGTGCCGGTGAATTCTTAGGGCAATGGACAAAAGTATCATCATTATTCCAAGGTGCCTCCGGAAGATTATAATATAGACGGCTCCAAAAAAGATAGTTTTCTTGGAAACAAATAGCTGTTCAACTTCTTCAGTGGACAACTGCAGTTTACGGGACCTTAGACCACTAGACACACCAATAAACACTCCACCACCACGCCCTTTACCACTAGTAGAAGCACTACGGTCTGAAGACGTTGCATCTTTGAAAATTATGTTCACTGGTTGAGGATTCATTCAACAAGTCTCTAGTAAGATGATGACCAAGTAATCACAGAGATTTACAGCCTCCTTAAGAATACTACCAATTTTTGTACGAAGTCCACGAATTTTTTTTTGACAATAGCAGCTTCTCATTTGGTCATCACGTTCAATTAGTTTTTGAACTAGAAGGGTTATTAATTTTAGAAATGTAGCTAATACCATTGCGATATGTAATCTCCTCTTTCCTTCCTTATTTTCAAGTCACTAAAGCGATTATTTAACTTTGCCTCCTGTAGTTTAGTAAAATCTTGCTTTATTGTAAAATTATTGCCAATTAATTTGTTCTTATTATTATTATTAATGCAAAGAACTGATCATCATTGAAAATAACCTTAACCATGTTTGGCTCTGTTGTTGGGTTTTCCAATTCTAATAAACTTGGTGCAACCAAATCAACTTCCACGACTCTTAAAATATCAGCAGCACACGACTTATCATGATTGATACGATCTAAGGTCACAGCAGATGGGTTTTCATCAATGTTGTTAAATAATGATGTTTTTGGCACGAGCACCTCTATGTTGCAGTTCACTTTAAAGGTCAATGTTATCAGATGTTTCCATCAATCTTTCGACAACCTCAGCATGAAAATTGGCCTTTTGATCGACGAGAATGTTATCCTAGACAAAACTACGAAGCTCGGCTGTGTCTCTCTCCAAATTAACAATTTTGTCTTCCTTTTCACGTTGCCACAACTTCAACTCATCTAAAGCATCTTGAAATGCTTTCTTTTGCTCCAACAAAAGATTGAAAACTTGCGAAATTGCCGATAAAACATCTTTATTAGTAGCATTAGATTTGTTTAGCAAGTTTTCGATTTGATTGTTAACCACAAAGCCAGATTTTGCAGAGTCGGCAGAGTCGGCAGAAGTGGCCTACACTTTAGAAGATGTATCAAAAGGGACAGAACTTGATCAATTTTTTGAAGAACGTTTTCTATCTTCAACATTTTTACATGAATTACATTGCCAGTCATGTTGGCCTGTTTTCCTATGAAGAGCTGTTATTTTAGTGTGTTGGGCACAAGCTTTATGGAATCATGAACAGCAAACAGAACATTCCACAGAATGCTGATTTGTTTTATGTGCGATCTCATACGAACCAAAAATTTTCCGTGATCGACGACATTTCCTCAGTTCAAGAGAAGTGATAATCAGCAATCACCTAATTCACGCCGATACACAACACTTGATCAACGAGTAGATGCGACTTGTTAGAACGGGCGTATCCGACATTCATGCAGTTTTTTCCTTCTTCACCATAACTAAGCATATCAGGCCACAGTAATTTAATTTATAGTCCACTAGTTCAAGTATAGGAAACCGATATGGTGAGCTGAATGTTACGATAGCGTTCACCAACACTATAAAAGTAACTTTTTACAAAATATGGTATTAAGCCACAGTTATTCCCGTAATGTCGATTAAAATTCGCGAAAATAAACAACGCGTGACACGATGTTCTCTCTCTCTCTTTCTCTCTCTCTCTCTGTCATTTTAATCAATTCCAAATTTATGTTTTTTCCAGTTTAGAAGTTATAACTTCAACATCTCGCTAAGGGGGCATTTCAAACCCCATATTTATATGCCCTAGAAATATCGCACCTGTTTTCTGAAACACCCTGTATATGTGGGGGGCTATTGGAGCTTTGAATTGAGAACTGTTGGCTTTTGGAAAAGCAAATTAGCTGTACGGGAAATTATGGAAACCAAACTAGTCATTTACATCCATTCACAATTTTTAGTTAAAGTTTGAGATAATGAATTTTTAAGTTTTTTCTGCTTCCATCGCATCTGGAAAGGTAGGTGCCCACGTAACATGAATACATGTGGTACCACTTTTGCGGTTGAATTGTAGAAATGAAGGAGAATATAATTTTAATACAACGCTGGATATTATAACTTTTCTGCAGAATACGATAATTTGAGCACTTCAAGGTTGTGCTTGCATTAAACTTGGAATCCAGGTAGCATCGGAATATAAATAAGACTTAAATCTGCTAAAAAAGATTCAACTGGCTCAACCTTCTCGTGATATTTTATCTTGTCCTGAGCTTTGTTTTACTTAAGATGTAAGGAGACATCGACTGAATGATCTGTAATGTCAAAAACAGTTGTGATTCTTCAGAAGAAAAAATCTCATAGTACCTTTCACACTGTTCAAAATCGGAATCCCTCTAGCAGCATCCTGCCAAAAAATTCACATAAGTGTGTGGTATTTTGTCATTGACATTTTTAATGTACTTTAAACTAGAGGTGGGCGAAAATTTAGTATAGCAAAACGTTGAGATTTATTGGGTTCATGATACTTACAAACACTTTACTGAAATGTTCACTCAGTTATCTGCTTTAGGCTTACAGAAAATGGGTTTCCCAACATGGCGAAGAAATGGACCTGCCTGGCTTAAACCTGACCCACGACCAGCTGTTCTTCCTAAACTACGCTCAAATCTGGTGCGGCTCTATGAGACCTGAAGATGCCTTGAGCAAAGTGCGATCCAGCGTTCATTCTCCAGGACCCATCCGTGTCTTGGGACCGCTTTCTAACTCGCATGACTTCGCTCGGGCATACAACTGCCCTTTGGGTTCTCCTATGAACCCTACTAGCAAGTGCAGCGTCTGGTAGATTTTGGTGATTTGAAAAATTGTAATGAATGCAAAGATTTTCGGTCGAATATATATGGTACAGATGGCTAGACAAGGAGCAAGCCTTGTTAATGAAGCAAGATTGAATTGAGAAAGCTATGAAAGGTTACTCAGATGATTGCATAAGTTCAAAATGAAGGTATTCGTAAACGATTCAAGATCTCTTTGCAAAAATGGAGCAGATGAAGGTAGTACGTACTACGGCCTTAAAGCTGTATGACAAAGTTATTCGCAAATGCGCATCATGTTCTTGTTGTCGTTGTAAGTACTTCAGCCGCGGATCCAGGAGTAATGGGGTCATGGGGGTCGTGACCCCCCCCCCCAGGCGAATTTAGTTCGACCACCAATTTTAAATGTTCCAAATAAATCTCTTAGGTGAATCTGTAATGCACACATATTAAATGGATGCCGTACTGGTATTTTCTACTAAACACTGGCAGCACTGCATCCGTCAACTTTGATTTAGCTGTAAGCAAGCGTAAAACTGGTTGCTTATGCGGTCAGCTTGATGTAGGAAAAACTTCTTCGCGCGCGCTTGAGCTGTAAGGAAATTTGATAAAAAAAAACTTTTTGACGGACCAGTGGCGGATTTAAGGAAAAGGGCCCGGTCGGCAATAAGCACTGGGGGTTGTATGATCGGGGACGGACGGCAAATAGTGCGAACTATAACTGTTTTGCGAATAACATAAATTACTGAAATCTTTGACAGATAAAATACGGCAATGGAAACTTTGAAAATTGCATGATAACCCAGAAATTAATATCAAAATTTAATGCGTAATGTCATGTTAGTGCAATCGTACATCAGCCTCGTTTTTGCATTTAATAGTGCGCATGGGCACGGGATGCGCATCGTAATTTTTTGAAGTAAATTAAACTTGATGATTCACCATCAAACTTCTTGTGCATAATAGAGTTTAAAAGCTATCACGGATGCTACCGATAAGTAAAGGGCGTCGAGTCAAATTTGGAGTGCACGCTATTTATAGAATTTATATAAAATTATAAGTACGAAAAATAGAACAAATATGATCGATAGTTGTTGTCATGTTTGCCGTGATTAATACATTGAATACAAACTTGGTGAACAACACTAAAATACGTTAACCCTTATAGCGCCATATGTATCTATCTGATACAAATTGAGTTTACATAATGAGGCCACATGTATAGATTCGATACATATTTGCTTTACAGTGGGAGGCCATATGTATCAGAATGATACAACACTAAAGGGTTGCATTAAAAGCTTCTGTATCATCTCGATACATGGTTTAGCTTACTTTCAATGGTAAAACGACCTTGAATGGCCTCGTACTGTACATCCTTTCTTTGGCGGGCGAAAAATTAAGGAGGGGGAGGATGAAGAAGGTTTTTTCTGAGACTGTGTTGATACTTTTTGACGTGAGGGCTGGTCTACACCCATGTACAATCCCAATTGATGTAAATCATAAAGCATAAACATAAAACCTGAATTTTATGTGCTCTTATGATTATGATGATGTTTTAGGAACGCACTGATAAGAAATTCGTATTCAACTCTTATAATAATCGTTGCAACTACGATTGTGATTTCAACAAGCATTGATGTAGACCAGCCTTAACGTCAACAAAGCCAGCCACATGGTTTTGGCAAAGAGTATCCAACTAACGATATCCTTTGCTTTGGACATATCTGTTTGACAATTCGAATTTAACACTAGGTTTTTCCAAATAACGCGTTTATGTTCTTCCACTGCGGATGCTGTTATCTAGAGACGGGAAATATGGTTATTTTTAAATAACTGTTATGACTGTTGATGCTATTTTTGAATAACTTTTTAAAATAACAGTATAAAATAGCAAACTGCTATTCCGTGGTATCCTGGTTGCCTATGTGCATTGATAAATAACAACCAACCCCTACTGTTATCCGTGCTAATCGTGTTGTCGCATTATTCAGTCAGTTGTGTTCTCGTACGTTTGTGTACTTATGTTATAAATGATGTCGGGTAGAAAAGTATATACAGACGATGAGTTGGTCGCAATTCTTGAAGGAAACGATGACGATGGACGTAGTAGCGGGAGTAGCTGTAAGTATGATTCTTATTTACGTTATTTACGAACGTCAAATATTCATTTTCATAGTAGGTGTACGTTATTGACCGGTAACCTTCAAATTTATCACACATAATTCATTAGTATGTCCTATTCACCTATTCACATATTCACGCTAGATCTGAGATTTACCTTACGTTACTGTTGTTTTAGTGGAGGATTCATCTGAGGACGATGATGAAGATTATGAAGCCCTTGAAGGTGAAGTCCAGACAAATGGCAATGAAGATGATGACGTACTTGAAGCGGGTGTTCAAGAGGCACAAGGAGAAAGGAGCTGGTCAGAACCATCATGTGATCTTTTCAATTTTGATTGCAACAAGACAAACGCAGTTTCTCAACATTGTTTGATGCTCTTAGAGCACACCGAAAAAACACCGCTAGATTTTTATAATCTCTTTCTTGATGATGAGATTATGGATCTAATTGTCTCCAATACAAACCTCTATGCCACCCAGGAACTTTGTAAGCTCATTGCGCGAGAAGAAATTACTACTGGGAGTAGATATAATGCTTGGACTGATACAAACAGGGAGGAAATGAAAATCTTCATCGCGTTTTTACTATGGATGGGACTAGACCGAAAACCCGAAATTCGCGACTATTGGAAGAAACATATTCTGTACAAAAATGATGTCAGTTGCTATATTAGTAGAAATAGGTTTGAATTATTGTTGGGATTCATCCACTTTGCTGATAATGAAATGGCATCTCCAGACAACAGACTGTACAAAATCGAACATTTACTCCGCTTGCTGAACAACAAATTTTCCATAATGTTTGAACCTGGAGAAAAAATTACCATAGATGAGTCGATGATTCCGTTCAGAGGGCGAGTAAAATTTCGCCAATACATTCCAAGTAAGCGCCACAAGTATGGTTTGAAGGTTTACAAAGTGTGTCTGTTGGGTGGATACACTTGGCACGCGAAAGTATACACAGGAAAAGCCTCTTCTGGAAATCTCACTGTTACCACTAGAACTACTATGGAACTGATGGAGCCATTGTTGGACCAAGGGAGAACCCTGTTTACTGATAGCTTTTATACAAGTGTTGAATTGGCAGAAGAACTTTTGAAAAGAAAAACCCATTTACTCGGTACCCTTAGAGTGAATAGAAAACATAACCCACATGGAGTTACCAAAGCAAAACTTAGGCGAGGGGATATGAAATATTTGCAACATAGTGAGAAAAAAATCATTATTGGAAAATGGAAGGACAAAAGAGATGTCCTTTTCTTGACTACAAAACAAGTGCCGCATTTAGTGGAGATTGAAAGCAGAGGAGGAAGAAGAATGCAAAAACCTTCGACCATAGTGGATTACAATTCTGCTAAAGGTTATATAGATTTGTCAGACCAGATGGCAGGTTACTGCAGTCCACTGCGTAAAGGCCTCAAATGGCATAGAAAACTTGCATTTGATCTCCTAACAAACACCGCAGTTGTAAACAGTCACAGATTGTATACACTGGTGGTAAGGAAAAAAATAACAATTGTCCGGTTTAGGGAGGAAATCGTGACAGCAATATTGGAAAATCTAAGAACCTTAGATGAGCAGGCACTGCTGACTCCCCAACAACTACATCATAAACACCGATTGACTGAAAATCGCCCAAAAAGAGGACGTTGCGTGGTTTGCTACGACAAGTTCCAAAAGCAATTCGACTCAAAGAAGGCCACAACACTCAGCAAACAAGTTAAAACCTCATGTGTTTCATGCACACATAAGTTTATGTGCATTGATTGTTTTTTTCTAACACACAACTGTGTGCCAAGCAAACGATAATTTCATTCTATTTTCTGTTTTCCACAATTTTTGTTCTTTGTAAATATATTGTATAAATATCACTGAAGTTGTCTTTTTATCATTTTTCCCCAATTAGTTTGAAATTTCCATAAGATGTATACGAATGGAAATATGTATCGAATGTACACACGTGGCGTGGGGTTGAGAAAATTCGAGAGTCACACCACGAGGCCACATGTATAGATTTGATACATTTGCCATTTTGGCAAAATTTGCTCTTCACATGGGCTAATACTTATTCAACATCATCCGTATATACTTTATCTGAATAAAGAAATTAAAAAACACTTCTGGCCTGGGGGTGTGACCTACTGAAAAAAGGCTGGCCTCAACGGGTAGACAGGTTTTTTTCGCTTGGCGCTAGTAGTGCATTACTACAGGATATACAGGGTGGCCAAACACGTGACGTCATAAAAAAAATTAGATTCCCCACATCGAGAGGAACCCAAATCACTCCCATATATATGGTCCGATTTTGTTTAGTTTAGGAGTTACGATTTTTTTTCGGATTTTTCGAGAATTTTTGAGTTCTGTGTTTATTTTTACCATAACTTCGTTAATAATTGTGATAAATGCCTGCTTTTTTCACGATTATGTAGCTAAGACCCAAGGCTTAACTATCATATAATCATTCAAGTCATGTAACTAATACTACTTTTTAATTTTTTTCAAAATCTTCGAACATAACAAAAAAGTAAAAAAGTGCAACAACTTGAACGTTTATAAAAAATTGAAAAAACATGTTCTTACTATTCGTAAGTATCTTAAAAACTTCCTTACGGTATCAGCTATTTACCGTAAAAATTTCATCAACCTAGCTTTACTACATGCTACCGTAATTGTGGCTCAAATAGAACCGAACCCAAAATTGGATAACCCTCTGCTCAATAGAAATTGTTAGTTTCGGAAAAAAAATTTGGAAAAACCACAAAAACACGTTTGATTTTTACTGAACAGCAGATTATTATTCATTTATGTTATTTACAAGAGGTTTTCAAAATGTCTGCCTCTAACAGAAATGCACAGTGTACACCTACGTATGAAATTTTGTTTTAAATCTCTAAATGCTTGTGTGTTGTTTTTCAACACATGTGTCGCTTCTTGAATTTTGTTCCTCAATGAATTTTCATTTGCACATTCTTGGGCGAATGTTATGTCTTTAAAATATCCCCAAACAAAAAAATCAATGGGGTTGAGGTCAGGGGAGCGTGGAGGCCATCGTATCGGTCCGTTTCGTCCGATCCATCTGTCTGGGAACCTTTCGTTTAAGTAGTTTCGCACGATCGTTGCGTTGTGGCATGGTGCACCATCATTCTGGAACACCATGTTCCGTCTGGCTTCCAGGCTTGAATCTTCCAGCAATAATGGTAGGCTATTTTCAAGGAAGCTTTTGTAGGCTACCGAATCCAACCTTGACGGCAGTTCAAATGGACCGATAAATTCCATATTGAATATTCCTGACCACATGTTCACACTAAAACGGTGTTGAAATGTCGACGGCCTTGAGTGGTGGGGGTTTTCAACAGCCCAAGTATGTAAATTATGGATATTGAATATCCCTGTTCTTTCAAAACGTGACTCGTCAGTCCATAAAATTTTATCAAAAAAATCGGGATCCTCTCGTTGTCTTCGCAGCATTGTCTCGCAGAAATCCACTCTTAACTGGTAATCTGAAGGCATCAACGCTTGAACTCTTTGAACATGATAGGCATGATAACCTTCTTCATGAAGAATATTTTGTATCGATGTTCGTGGTATTCTAAGATTTTGTGCCATAGATCTCGTACTGGTTGAGGGATTCCGGCTAATTTCTTCAAGTACTACTTCTCTGCGATCCGGATCAGCTGTAGGATATCCTTCATTGCTTCCTCGTCCTGGAATGCGGCCTGCCATGAAAGTGTTATGTGTGTTAATAAAAACACGGTGGTCTGGGTAATGCTCAGCTGTACCGGGAACAACTTATACGCCGAGGCGGACCACAACCTGAGCATTACCCAGACCACCGTGTTTTTATTAACACACATAACACTTTCATGGCAGGCCGCATTCCAGGACGAGGAAGCAATGAAGGATATCCTACAGCTGATCCGGATCGCAGAGAAGTAGTACTTGAAGAAATTAGCCGGAATCCCTCAACGAGTACGAGATCTATGGCACAAAACCTTAGAATACCACGAACATCGATACAAAATATTCTTCATGAAGAAGGTTATCATGCCTATCATGTTCAAAGAGTTCAAGCGTTGATGCCTTCAGATTACCAGTTAAGAGTGGATTTCTGCGAGACAATGCTGCGAAGACAACGAGAGGATCCCGATTTTTTTGATAAAATTTTATAGACTGACGAGTCACGTTTTGAAAGAACAGGGATATTCAATATCCATAATTTACATACTTGGGCTGTTGAAACCCCCACCACTCAAGGCCGTCGACAGTTCAACACCGTTTTAGTGTGAACATGTGGTCAGGAATATTCAATATGGAATTTATCGGTCCATTTGAACTGCCGTCAAGGTTGGATTCGGTAGCCTACAAAAGCTTCCTTGAAAACAGCCTACCATTATTGCTGGAAGATTCAAGCCTGGAAGCCAGACGGAACATGGTGTTCCAGAATGATGGTGCACCATGCCACAACGCAACGATCGTGCGAAACTACTTAAACGAAAGGTTCCCAGACAGATGGATCGGACGAAACGGACCGATACGATGGCCTCCATGCTCCCCTGACCTCAACCCCATTGATTTTTTTGTTTGGGGATATTTTAAAGACATAACATTCGCCCAAGAACGTGCAAATGAAAATTCATTGAGGAACAAAATTCAAGAAGCGACACATGTGTTGAAAAACAACACACAAGCATTTAGAGATTTAAAACAAAATTTCATACGTAGGTGTACACTGTGCATTTCTGTTAGAGGCAGACATTTTGAAAACCTCTTGTAAATAACATAAATGAATAATAATCTGCTGTTCAGTAAAAATCAAACGTGTTTTTGTGGTTTTTGCAATTTTTTTTTCCGAAACTAACAATTTCTATTGAGCAGAGGGTTATCCAATTTTGGGTTCGGTTCTATTTGAGCCACAATTACGGTAGCATGTAGTAAAGCTAGGTTGATGAAATTTTTACGGTAAATAGCTGATACCGTAAGGAAGTTTTTAAGATACTTACGAATAGTAAGAACATGTTTTTTTCAATTTTTTATAAACGTTCAAAGTTGTTGCACTTTTTTACTTTTTTGTTATGTTCGAAGATTTTGAAAAAAATTAAAAAGTAGTATTAGTTACATGACTTGAATGATTATATGATAGTTAAGCCTTAGGTCTTAGCTACATAATCGTGAAAAAAGCAGGCATTTATCACAATTATTAACGAAGTTATGGTAAAAATAAACACAGAACTCAAAAATTCTCGAAAAATCCAAAAAAAAATCATAACTCCTAAACTAAACAAAATCGGACCATATATATGGGGGTGATTTGGGTTCCTCTCGATGTGGGGAATCTAATTTTTTTTTATGACGTCACGTGTTTGGCCACCCTGTATACTGGGCACTATTTGCGAAAGTGATATTCTCCACATTTATCGCTATTTGCAAATTAATGACGGCAACTGAGAATAAAACAATTAGAAAGACCTGCACAAGTAACCGAAACAAGCTCATGGATAGAGCAAATGCTTTTTTAATAGTAATTTGATGCAAAAAGTTAATCTGATGCTGCTTCAACGTGCCAATAAAACAGCTAATTCAACTGTTTCAATATTCACGCGGATCTAAAATTTTTCGATTACGTAAAATCCATCTAAATCGTTCAGATAAAGTTCGAACTACAGATTTTGCTGGCAATAAGGATGTCACATATTAACAGGGGCTCACAATTATATGCACAATAGTAGCTGCTGCGCGCTGCTACCTCTGTTTTTTTACTATATGTCTATAAAACTTGAATCAAGTAGAGACAGTGTGATCAAAGATATTTTATGCAATACAAAATAACAGAATTATTATAATTTGAATCCGCGTCTTGCTTTTCGTTCAGCAAAAAGTGCCATCACAGAATCCAAATTGAGTGTATTAGCTATTGATCTTTCGATTTAGAGGATAGAGCAGTTGTTGAGTGTGTCTTTAGCCAAAGAAGCTCGACGGTATTCTTTAATAATTTTCTAAGAGCCCATAACTCCTTCAGCACTAGCTGAACCGATAGGCAAAGTCAAAAACAATCTGAATAATGCAATTGATAATACATTAAAAAAATTTCTTCCAAGATATTATCACGAAGAAAATAGATATGTCATCAAATAAAAAAATGCACAGTATTGTGAAAGCTATAAGCATTGAAGACGTGAAAAGACTGTAAAGACGCATTAGAGTCTTTATTAGACTGAAAGAGGCTGATTCTGATTCATACCACCAAGATATTTATTATATGCCAGGTAATAATACGAGTATATCACTGTAAGCACAAGATGAAAAAATCATCATTTAGTAATTTTTTTAGAAATGCAATAGTCATTTTTTAAAAAATTACTTAAGAAATGAAAGGGAAATTTTCTTATTCGAACTGAACGCTAACGCGCTATTTCATAAACATTACGCAGATGGTCATTAAAAGAATAAAACAACACTATGATTTCTTGATATCAATTTGACATTTTTGACCAGTGTGACCCCCCCCCCTGACACAAATCCTGGATCCGCTGTTGAAGTACTTTTGGAAAAACTTGTCAGTAGGTTAACTTCGTAGGCTATGTTTTTGCAAATGAGTTGTCGCTGTATTAGATTTGGAGTATTTCATAAAATAGAAGCCTCTCATCCCATCATAGTACAATTATTCCATGTTTGTTAAGAGCTGAACTTAGTCGTCACTAACCACGTGTAAACATATCCAGCTCAGTGTTCATAAAATTTGAAAAGCGGGATTTTACTCGAATGTTCGGAAATACTTGGAAGTGTAATACAGTATTATCCCATCTGAATCT